CTGGGCCGGGTTTGAACCCACCAGCCCCAGTGTATGTGGCCAGCACCCTAACTGCTGAGCTACAGGCACCGAGCCTTAAGACTCTTACTTATGGTTACTTTTTTCTGGCAGAAGAGCCTCCGGCAGCTCCCTGGGGTTGCCCCCGCTGGGATGGGATGAGAGTTCCCAGTTCAATCCCCTCTCTTGGAAGGTTGGAGGGAGTGGTCTAGGTCAAGGTGAAGGCCCTGGTAATGGAGAAGGAGGAGGCTCAGGCTGTGCCCCCAATGCTGCAGATGAAGGCGTGGGGACCCTAGTGGTGGTGGCCCTCAACAACCAGCACCTGCTGCGCGTCCTCTCCCAGCTGAAGAGATTCGCCCGGGCCTTGTGGCTGAACCCTCCGACGACGGGTGCCCGCATCATCACTTCCGTCCTCTGCAACCCTGCTTTGTTGGGAGAGTGGTGAGGGTGAAGGCTGGGGCAGGAGGGAGGCACGGTGTCTCTGGATACCCACTGACTTGCTGATGCACGGGAGTCAGCTGGGTCTCTCCCTCCCACTCAGCCTCTTGATTCTGTTCATTCTTCACTTTGTTCACCCACATTTATTAAGGACCTACTGTGTGCCGGTGGCAGTGGCCATGCCCAGGGTTGCCCTACCTTGGGGAAGAGAGTGATAGGACACAGGCCAGTGAGTGATTTGAACTCTTCCAGACTGCAGGGGGGCGACTAGAAAGCATAGGGACTTGCTGCTCAAGCAAAATCTGCCGGGAAGTTTGCTCAGCCACTTAAATCAATAGGGAGCAAAGCCTGGGTCCACTGGGTGCATTAGGGACTCAGCTGGGAGCCTCCAAAGCTCCCAGAATAGCCACGAGGGGATGAAGGAGGTGCGACGGCAGGGAAACCTCTCACTTCCATTTCTCCTTGTCCTTCTTTGGTAGGAAGCAGAGTCTCAAAGCAGTTGCAGAGAACATCATGCTCACCAAGGAAAGGGTGAAGGAGAAGCTTCGGCTCTTGGGAGTCCCTGGCTCCTGGGATCACATCACAGAGCACAATGGGACCCATGGCTACCTTGGACTCAACGGTAAGTGTCTAGAAGTGGGTGGCTTCCCCCTCTTTCAAAACTTTGTTTTGTGTTTGAGCATTAAACCTCACTGACTTGGTGATCAATCCCGAGCTTTGCTCCAGATTTTGATTATTTCCTCTGGAAAGGGGGACTGCTTTAAAGAAAAACCCTTCTGGGCAGCGCCTGTGGCTCAGTGGATAGGGCGCCGGCCACATATACCGAGGGTGGAGGGTTTGAACCTCACCCCGGGACAGCTAAAACAGCAATGAGAATTGCAACAAAAAATAGCCAGGGGTTGTGGCAGGCACCTGTAGTCCCAGCTACTCAGGAGGCTGCTTAAGCCCAGGAGTTAGAGGTTGCTGTGAGCTGTGATGCCACAGCACTCTACCGAGGGTGACATAGACTCCATCTCAAAAAAACAAAAATGAGAAAATGCTTTTGAACCCCCAGAAATTCCAGCACTCCCTATGTGTCATAAACTTTCCTGAGTTAGAGGGGAGTCAGAGGGGACCATCCCAGGGTCTGAGACCATGTGATTATCACAGCCCAACAGGTGGAATTCCTGGTCAAGAAGAAGCACATCTACCTCCCCAGGAACGGGCGGATCAACTTCACCTGCATCAATGCCAGCAACATAGATTATATCACCCAGAGCATCAGTGAAGCTGTTTTCCTCACAAAGAACCCAAAGAACTATTACCTGGAAGAGAAACCCTGTGTGGAATAAAAGTGTTAGTCTTTGTGAAAATCCTGTGCTGATTATTCATTGGTATAGTTCATTTCTTTACAAAACACTCTTTTCATTTACTTATGAAGTAATGGCCTGGCCTCAGTAAAGAGACAGGAAAACAAAGCCCGCAGAGGAAGGGAGCATCGACCTTCACTGGCCATCTCATATTTATCCAGCATGTACTACGTTAAGGCCCCGAACTGGGCATGAAAGGGAATGCAAAAAAGACGTGAAATCAGGTCCTTTTGCTCTGGATGCTTGCAGTCTAATTGGGAGACAAGCCTCAAGTCACATGAAACTATTAAGTAATCTATCTTTCTCCCTTCCTTCCTTCCTTCCTTCCTTCCTTCCTTCCTTCCTTCCTTCCTTTCCTTTCCTTTCCTTTCCTTTTCCTTTTCCTTTTTCTTCTTCATTTATTCCTCTTCCTCCTCCTCCTTTTTTTGAGAGAGAGTTTCATTTTCTTGCCCTTGGTAGAGTGCTGTGCTGTCATAGCTCACAGCAACTTCAAACTCTTGGGCTCAAGTGATCCTCTTGCCTCAGCCTCCTGAGTAGTTGGGACTATAGGCACCTATCACAATGCCTGGCTAATTTTCCTATTTTTAGTAGAGATGGGGTCTTGCTCTTGCTTAGGCTGGTCTTGAACTCCTGAGCTCAAGAAATCTACCTGCTTCAGCTTCCTACAGGCACAAGCCACCACATCCAGCTTAAAATTATTATTATTATAGAGACAGAATCTTGCTTTGTCACCTTGGCTGGAGTGCAGTGGCATCATCATAGCTCATAGCGACCTCAGATTTCTGGGCTCAAGTGATCCTTTTGCCTCAGCCTCCTGAGTAGCTGGGACTGTAGGTGCATGCCAATATGCCTGGCTAATTTCTCTATTTTTATTTTATTTTATTGTATTATTTATTTATTTTTTGACACAAAGTCTCACTTTGTCACCCTCAGTAGAGTGCCATGGCATCAGAGCTCACAGCAACCTCAAACTCTTGGGCTCAAGCAATTCCCTTGCCTCAGCCTTGCCCGCTATTTTTAGAGGCAGGGTCTCAATATGGCTCAGGCTGGTCTTGAACCCGTGAGCTCAAACAATCCACCCACCTCAGCCTCTCAGAGTGCTGGGATTACAGGCATGAGCTACTACACTCAGCCTTTTTAATTAAATTAATTAACTTATTTATTTTTGAGACAGAGTCTCACTTTGTTGCCCCCAGTAGAGTGCCATGGCATCGTAGCTCACAGTAACCTCAAACTATTGGGTTTAAGCGTTCCTCTTGCCTCAGCCTCCCAAGTAGCTGGGACTACAGGCAGGTGGATTGCCTGAGCTCAAGACTTCAAGATCATCCTGAGCAAGAGCAAGACCCTGTCTCTAAAAAAATAGCCAAGAATGGCTCAGTGCCCGTAGCACAGTGGTTATAGTGCCAGCCATATGTACCGAAGCTGGTGGATTCGAGCCCGGCCCCGGCCAGCTAAACAGCAATGACAATTGCAACAAAAAAATAGCCAGGCATTGTGGCGGGTGCCTGTAGTCCCAGCTAGTTGGGAGGCTGAGGCAAGAGAATTGCTTAAGCTCAAGAGTTTGAGGTTGCTGTCAGTTGTGACACCACGGCACTCTACCAAGGGCGATAAAGGAGACTCTGTCTGTACAAAAAAAAAGGAAGACAGATCCATACAAAGGTCCTGTGGA